ACCACCTCCATGGCCACCACCACCACCTCCATGGCCCAACGCACAAGCTGGAAGTCTGTTCCCAAACTTCTGGTTTGCATGTGAGGTTGTTTTTTGCATGCACGCTGGAGCTAACAGGGCAACGCCTCACGTGCCCTAACAAATGGCTCCATGTACCACAGGTTCGCCATCCAGGCCCTAAACCATTCTTAGCCCAATACGAAGTAGACCCTATGCCTGCATAATGTCCCACCCACTAAGATAATTTCACTGAACACTCCTGGCAAAATGGCAACATTTTAATTTTTAGAAAACTCTCAACATCCACCCTTAACATTTCCCCCCACCCCCCCAAAAAACAACTCTTTCAAATAGCTTCAAATCACTGGTTTGGGGCAAATTTCATCTTATTTTTCCCTTTTTCAATGTTCTAAGGGTAGGGATAGGAGACAAAAATTCAAATCCCCTTCCTTAGCCTACCAACTCAGTGAAAAACGACTTGACAGTGTTAAGAAAATTAGTACCTTGAGGCATTTTAGGTTTAGAGGAGTTTGCCTCACAAAGGCCTTCCTAAAACCAAGCAAACTGCACATAAAGCACGTAAACACACAAAGTCAGTACATGCTGAAAAACTTTGATCCCTTTCTGACTACACTACCACATTACCAGATGACTTCCTGAAGGTTAGGAGGCTGAATTGAACCTCTGTTCTATCAAATGCCCCCTTATCATGAGACATTCGATAATAGTTTTTCAGTATTTCTCAGCATAACATTCACTTGTACTCAGGAGGAAAATAGTATTGGGACAATAGGATGAGGGATAATTTTCTACTGTCAGACTTACTTTTGCACAAGCTTGCATACAAAGTTGATATTGTAATGGATATCATATTTAAAGTAATAAAGCCATGATAGTCACTTTTTATTTTACTCTTCCGTCATTCTGCTAAATATATAGACTAAAGCAGTCTTTATTTAAATTTAATAGTTCAGGATATTTGCTTACCAAGGCACTCTTTATCAGTTCATTGATCTTTTCATTCCCCTCCAGTTTCACATTCTTAAAATATTTGTGTTGTACATAAAAGAGAACTAGTTGCAGAATTATCTCTTCTGTGTGCCTTAGCCACACTTTTTAGTGAGATGGTAAATTATTAAGCTTTAGTAAACTCTTCTGACTAATGCTGTTCTTTTCTTAGCTACTACTTGTAGAAAGAGCAGTTGCATTTTAACCTTCCTTTGTATTGCCAAAGTGTTCTAAGTTGATGTGCATTATAAGAACCCTCCCCCCCCAATTTGTTTAATGAAAATATGCATTTCATTTTAAATTGTCTCTAAAAACTTCAACTACATAAAAAGATTTATAAACTGGTGAATAGTTCTTATGCATGAAAACTACCTTCAAGGCTCCACAAGGAAAAACATTTATTTCTTCATGCCAACTTCCACTTAGCTTTTTAGTTAAGACTCTGCATGTTAGTTCAGTCTTGGAAAGGCTACTTGTTATAAACTGAGTAGTGCACTCCTTTTGTTTTATTCACTCATGGACATTTCTGGGTTTACTAACAGTTGTAATGTAAATACATATTTTTTGTCAATTGATGAGAAAGTATTTTTAATTTTAAAAAGTCTAATTACAAATAATGTAGACAAAGAAGTAATTGTTCTCCTTCACTTTTCATTTTGAACATTGCATCCATTTTTAGCTCTGACACTTTCAGAAGCTAAAAAAGAAGTTGATGAGGGTGATCATAATAAAGTTGGATAAGTCTTATGAAGAGAGCTTGAAATAATTGAGAGTGTTTAGCTTTGGAAAGAAAAGATTGCAGTAGACATATAAAAACACACTTAAGTTTTAGGAGGGGTGCCTGATAAAAGAAGATGAAAACCTGTCCTGTTCTCTGCCATCCCAGTATATCAAATAAGCATAATGTTCTTAAGAAACAAGATGACCAATTTCAGTTGATGTTAAGAAAAAAATAATCTAAAAGATTTATTCCAAATCTGGACATATGTCTAAATTAAAACGGATCCAGATAATCAGATTCATCCAAGAAAACCTGAGATTTTGATGTCACCACACCAATAAGACTTTATTCAAAAAGATTTGATTTGAGACTGGTCAGAAATGTACACTGATGATAGTTAATGACTCTTGTTTAAAGAAAAGTTTTATTGTTACCTTCTTAAAGGAGCTGAAATAGGTTCCTCTGACAAAGAAAGATTTCTAATATGGATTTAGACAAATGTTCTCTCGTATACCAAGATGAGGGTTTATCCAATGAAGTTATCAACCTCTAAGCTACTTACTTACATCATTGGAATTGGAAATAAATTTCTTTTGTCAATCCTTCCCACTGGTATTATCCAATGTTGAGTTTAGATCTAAGCAGCTCTGAATTGCTTTATCAGGAAACAAAATACCCTGCAAACATATCCTTACAAAATGTCAAAAGGTTCCTCACTATAGGGGTTTACATATAATAGATAACATAACCCAACACTTAAACATTTCTGATTTGCTTTTCCCACATTAGTACATCTGCTGTTGGTTCCAAAAGTTAACATTCAGAACTTCCAAATAAACATATATAGAATGCACCCTCAAAATAATTAATGTTTTTATTTTGAGCATATCAGTATCTACTTAGTAGAAAGCGCTATTGACTTAAGTGGGAATTTTCAGGTAACCATATATATGATCACAGCCTTATATGTGCTTTGTGCCATTTAAATGTATACAGTTATAAAAAAGTTAAATAGGCACCAAAGATTTTGATTAAACCAAATGTAATTATGTAATAATATTATCAGCAGATTTAAATATTAAACATCATCATGCCAAACATGCTTAACATCATTATTATAGCTTCATCCTACATATTATGAATAAGTAAGTTATACCATAAAGGACATTCTAGTCATTCCAATATTCATAACACCTCATATATATTTATTCAAACACATATTTTATTGCATTCTATTTGCAGAGAAAAAGAATTCCTGAATGTCATAGATGGGGTAATAAGAGGAAATAATATTCTTAAAAATATAAATTGTAATGCAGCTGTAATGAATTGCTATTTTAAAAAGGAAGCCACATGCTGCTTACAATACTATAATTTTTTATCAGATGTAATCTGCAATATTTGAAATTTTAGGACAGTCCTACTGCAAATGATGTAATAATCCTCCAAACATAATGACATTAATGCAAGATTTTATGCTGGGTGATAAGCCTTAAAACCTGGAGAACCATTGGTATCCAGGTTCCTATAGATTCAAAATTGGGCTTGCTGAATGTTACTGAGAATCATCATGCATAAGAGATGTTACATCAGTATTAGAGAATACTAGTGTATCTTTAGTTTACAAGATCTGGTGAATTAATAAATGGTAACATATGTTTCATTAGTCCAAGAATAATTAACAGAGAAAATTGTGAAATGGTCCCTCCACAAAAAAGAGGGGAGGGAGAAACCCCCACCCCCAAAACATAAAATTATCTATTTGATTCTTCTTTCTGTTCTGAGTATCACTCTTACCAATTGTAGCCTTTAGTTACCCAAAGGCTACCGCTATATTTTAAAGAGTTATCGAGTATTAATGAGTTCTTCAAGTTTAAAATTGAATAAATGTTGTTGTGGAGTAGGAAAGGACTATATTCTTTCCAGCAGTATACATTCAATAGGAAATAACCTTTTAAAATTTAACAAACAAAATTTTAATTTTAAGAAAACCAAATTTAACAGAACACTTGCTTTGTGAAATTGGGAGGGCTAAATTTTTTATCTTATATCTTTACAGGTAAATTATGGGAAGGTGAGCAATGAAAGTAAAAAAGGACTCAGATTTACTGTATCACATGGCTGCAGTTCTGAATTTGCATTTGTGCCCTGCGATAGCACTGTTGCTGTTTACACAATTTATTCAGGAGACCTAATAACTATGCTTAGGGGACATTATAGTTCGGTTGACTGCTGTGTCTTTCAACCTAATTTTCAGGTAAGTGAAGCCATCTGGAGAATTTTAGGTTATTTAAGCATGACACCAAACAGGTTTTACTTAAAACACTCAGCTATATTGAGTACATAGTCCCTATAAAGATTATATGCAATTCAAGTGTTCTTCAGTTTAAGAAGGCAAAGCCTTTCAGCTTTTCACTTTGAGGTTGAATATGAGTCTCTCCGTGTGTTTCTCTAGCGTTTAAAGTAAGAGAATGACTATTTCTATGCATGGGATTTCAGTTGTTTAATAGACAAATGATGATGTATTTCTTTAAGATTATCCCTTCCCATTAGCAGCATGTCTCATTTGTGCAAAAATAAATTCTGCTATGTATTTAAGAGGTTATAATAGGGAATTCAACTGGTATATATATTGGGGAATTCAACTGAGAGCGGCATGGTAGCCTAGTGGTGCCTCCCACTCAGAAGATTGAGCGTTCAATCCTAGGTAGTTGCATGTGTTTTTCTCCTAGGGTGCAAAGAAAAAAATACTTGCTGCAAACTCCGCGTGGCATCAGGAAGGGCATCCGGCCAGCAAACTCTCGGCTTCATCTAGTCACCCAAACTCTACCCTAAATTAAGGGATTACAGGATTTTTATGATTTTAAACTAAATATATTGAAGGACCAGGTTCTTTGGGACCTTTGAAGTTGCAAAACAAAACAAGTATGCTTGAGATCCCATCTAGTGCTCCTAATCAGATCGACTAATACTGAACTAGATGATCTAACAGCCTGATCCGATTTAAAGCAGCTTCCTGTCTTTACAGCAGTCTACCATGTCAGCATTACAATAATGCTAGTACACAAATTAAGGTGAGGTTCTCAGTTAGGCAAATGTTTAATTAAAAACTATAAGCTTTGGTCTTATAGCCATTTGGTCTAGACAATTGAACTTTTGAATATATTTTAAATAATCCTAATGATACTTGATTTATTGTAATAAGTGCATTATGAAAGTTAATATCATTCATGAAATCTTTACAAATGTTAAATTGCATTACAATTGAGATGACATTAATTCTGTAAGTCATTGGAGATCAACATCTCAAGCTTACTTATTATTCATGTGGATTAGAAAATGTTGGTAGAAGCAGGATTTCTAAAAAATGTGTATAAAATGCAAACTGTATATAATGCAGTTTTTGGCCACACATTTTAAACATTTTGGAAATTGAAAGGCTGGGACACTTTTCATGCATTTACATTTCCCTAATTGAAATTTTAGTTTATGCAGTGTTTCAGGTTTTTTCAAGATCTGCATAATATATTTTTATATTATTATATGAAAAGTGGAATAAAGATGCTAATTTAGAAATAAATGTGATTTGTCATAGAATGCCTTTTTTGGAAGTGCCTTATCCCAACACTTTTACAGCCAAGAACAGTTCTTAACAAAACATCTTTGAAAACTGTTGCAGCAATTCTTTTGCAATGGTAGAGGCATAGCCAAAGGAGTGGACAGATAAAGAGACAACATAGGCCACAGCTGGATAGAAAGCAAGGCAAAGGGCTCAGAGGAGACACTCCTAAGTAAAGGAGATAATGGGTGGTGGGAGGAATTCTAATTTAAATTCTTTGTAATATTGATGATGACTCCTGCATGGTTTATCCTTCAAGACCAACATCTATGGAGCATGAGAAATAATATTCTGAACTTGTTTTGTGGACATAGCTTGAAAGGTCTGTCCCATTGGTCGTTAAAAAGTAATTTCTTTAAATGGAATAACCACTTTTCCCTAGCTTAGGTCTTTCAGTAATGGATTGTACATTTTATAATTCTAGAAGTGATTGAAGTTGTAATCCAATATAACCAGGGGGGCTCTGCTACTTCAAGACAGAAATGAATAAATGGCCATGTTTATTTTAATTTATTTTAATTCATTATAAATATATTTCAAATTTATTAGCTTTAGGTATAATCTTTTCACCAACAAATACCACAAGATAGCTAATAATAATATTTAAAAAACAATTATCAGAGTTTAAAAATTGATATTTTTTAAAGGATATAACTGATTACCCAACCCAGCATTCAAGCCACTTTATACTCTGATAGCAATAGCAATAGCACTTAGACTTATATACCACTTCACAGTGCTTTACAGCCCTCTCTAAGCGTTTTACAGAGTCAGCATATTGCCCTCAACTATCTGGGTCCTCATTTTATCGATCTCAGAAGGATGGAGGGCTGAGTCAATCTTGAGCCTGGTGAGATTTGAACTACCAAATTATAGGCAGCTGGCAGTCAGCAGAAGTAGCCTGCAGCAGGATAACAGAGAAATTAGCGTGCTTTCCTTAGCCAAGTGTTTCAAAGCCTGGAAGAAGATATCAAAAGGTATTTGCTCATATTTCTATTAAACAGTGGTGAGATAAGAGAAGGATGCCTGCCAAATTGTTTGGCAATACATGTTACAATTTTTAGATAGCCTATTCTTAGCTTACACTGGCCTTTATATAGTCTCTGGATCAAACCAACCCTCTTCCTTCTTTTTTGCTTTGTACAGTTGTAACTTAGGAAAACACAAAATCTGCTTATTATGAAGGAAGTCTTGTTGAGCTTATTGGAGCTTATTTCTGAATAATATTTCCCTGTCAGCCAAATTGAAATGGCTAACGTAGCATGCTGAGGTGCCCAGATGCAAGGATAGTGTATTTCCTTATTCAGCATTGCTTAACATTATTTTGTTTGTTTCTTAATGACAGGAACTTTATAGCAGTGGCAGAGATGGCAATATTCTTGCCTGGGTGCCCTATTTGAGGGAACCAGAACCTGATGATACTCATTCTGAAAAGGTAAACAACTTTTAACCTTAGCAACGTTGGAACTGGAGAATTTATAGATAAGGACATGAAAGGAAGAAATGCTTGTCTGTTTTTTTAGTAAGCAACACGGACTTGTCACTAATAGTATGATAGCTAATTATAGTTCCTTATGGCAAGTTGCTGTCTCATCTTGTACTGATTTGAGGTGTGATTGGATTGATTCTATAGGTTCATTGTATTTGTACTAAGGCAAGGGAGACAGACTCAATATTTAGAAATGTGTGTCCTTTACATTCCAGACAAGGGCATGGCTTCTATTTCTTATCCTTTCAGTATATGAAAAAGTTAAGGTATGGGATAAAACACATGCAGAATGAAAAATATTGGCTGAAGCATGACTTGTTTGTAGCTTCTTAGCTGCTGTTCTTAAAGAAAGAAATTTAAAGCAAACAAGAAGGATTTTACTTTCAGCTAATTCACATGAGTAGCAGTCTTGGTCATAAGCCTGCCTTTACCTATATATAATTATTTCCATTGAGCTGTACAATAATATAGCAGAATTATTTCCAGTGATGGTAGTCATGGGGATTTATAGAGATAGAATCCATTCACAAGTTAATTTTCTATAATTGTAATCACTTTTTTCCTTTATTTTTTAGTTGCCTTCTAAGCAGTGCTTAAATTCTGCATATGAAGATGCATGGAGCAGCAGTGATAGTGAGGCTGGATGAATTCTTAAATGACTGTTAACATAAAGATGATAAATAATCACACCAATTTATTTTAACAAAGGATATTGACTATCAAGGCCAGATACAGCTGTGGCTTTCAGGTTCTTAACATAAGATTTCATGAATGCTTTCCTTTTTTCTCTCGTCATTGGCAAATTTTATCCAACCAACATGTTTTCATTTACAGTGAAGTAAGAATGAATTTATTTGTATGTATTTGCTCTCTTCTGTAAAAATACAATGGACCTGCTCATATTTTGTTCTTCAGTAGACCTCAGTTACATTGTTATCCATTCATGTGACAAAATCTTTGTCTTAGGATTTCTTATACAGAGTTACACTTTGTGTAGGTGTAATATTTTCATGGTTGGAAAAATAGGATATGAATAAAAGCCAATAATCTTTATTTATCTTTATAACCTTTAAAACTAATAATCTCAATTGTCAAATTAAGAATGACAAAAATATGTACATAAGAAGCTTATAAAAATGTAACTATTTGCCTCTCTATTAAGGGCAATCCAATAAATCCATTTGATCTCCAGTTCATATGAAAGTGTCTTAGATAGAAAAGATTCTAAGAGGACCTCAATCTCTTAATCTAGTCAGATACTGTTGAAAAGATGGATAAAACTGCTTTTTTGCATTGTACTTGACATCATACATTGAAGAGTTGCTGACATATAATAAAGTTGTTACCACTAGTTTGGTTTTCAGATGCATTGATATGCAAGATGTAGCTTTAGAGATGCTATTGAATGACAGCTTCCAAGACAGTAAATGACAGTAAATTCAAGTAAATGAGGGCAGATACGATATTGTTGCCATTACAGAAACTTAGTAGGATGAAACCCACAAATGGAACATACAGCTAG